CGGCCCCCGCGGGCCCCGCCCCCCCCGCCGCGAAGGGACACGCCTCCGTGCGGGAAGGGGCGGGGCCTTGCGGGGGAGCGGGGTGTGTGTGTGTAACGGTGGGGGGACACACGCGTGTGCAAGGGGGGGGACGCACCAGTGAGCACAGACATGGGGGCATATTGGGGGGCACGCAGCACCGGCGTGTGCACGGGGTACACGTGGGCGGGGCTTTGGGAGGGCACACGCGTGTAAGCGTGGGTCCCAGCACACGTCCCAGTGCATGCAAGTCTGAGCACAGGCCCCAGCATGTATCCAGGTGCACACGCATGTGAGCACAGCCTCTGGTCATGTCCTGGTGAACACACATGTGAGCACAGGCTCTGATCGTATCCCTGTGAACATGCATGTGTGAGCACAGGCTCTCGTTGTGTCCCAGTGAACACGTGTGTGAGCACAGGCCCCAGCACACATCCCAGTGCACATTCATGTGAGCACAGGCCCCAGCACATGTCCAGGTGCACACACATGTGAGCACAGGCTCTGGTCACGTCCTGGTGAACACGTGTGCAAGCACAGGCCCCAGCACAGGTCTGGGTGCACACGCGTGTGATCCCAGCCCACGCCAGAGCTGGGGCGAGCGCAGAGCACACGCATGTCATGTCAGGGCTGTGCACACGCACGAGCTCACATGGTGCCCATGCGTGTCAGCTCCCATGCTGCGGGCGCCCGGATGCCTGGGTCCAGTCCCCATCCCTGAGTCACCATCGGCAACGCATGAGTCACTTCCCTCCCCGCGCCCCGGCCTCGCACACCCGCGCTCAGCACACGGGACCCCCCGGCCTGAGTCCCCCAGGACGCCCCTGCCCGGCGGGGGACCCAGGCGTCCGGGCGGGGCAGACGCGGGTTAACGAGCGGCGTGTCCTGGCCTGCCGGGGCGGGGCAGGGACACACACACGTGTGCACACATGAGGACACGTGTGTGGGGTGGCGGCACAGGGGTCCCCCCACCTCGTCTCGGCCACATGCTAATGCCCTGCGCTGCCGGCAGCCCCCGGGGCTTTCCAGGGGGGACCTGGTCATCCGGGCCCCGCCCCCACCCTGGATTTTAGGGGATTTTGGGGCTGTCTCATTTTCCCTCCTGACTTCTCCTTCCCCACAAGCAGCCCCTGAATCAGGCCCGGCCAGACCCCCTGC